TATTTTTTTTTTTTTTTTTTTTTTTTTTGGTAGTTTATACGTGTTCTTTATGGTCTAATATATAAAAAATATACTTTGTTAGTGGTAAAAAAAATAAAGAATATACCAAGTGGGAAATATTTCCATGTAACAAATTTACAAATAAATATGACGACTAGTTTAGCCACCATTAATATTTTTCCAAAAAAATCTCTTTTTAAAACAAATTCAAAATCTTTACTTAAAAACCAAACATTTAATAAATAATAATTCAGAAAACTTTTTTTTTCTTTATTTCATAAATGTCAACATATTATTCTATCTAAACAATTAAGGCATATGCTTAAAGTCACAAGCCGAATTCTTCACGTGCAAATTGTTGAACTAAAAAAAAAAAGAAAAAAAAGTAACACAATAGATTCTACAATTTTAACAAAGAAGCAATTTGTTTGATTAAAAGGAAGTATTATTCCATTTAATCTCTCACATAATATGAACTCTTCTTGCACCAAGCTCTTGCTCTATTAGGATTCTTTCCTACCAAAAAAAAAAAAAAAATTGTATAGTTAATTAAATGTATATATGAATTAGTTGTGACAAAGCATTAGCGGTGGGAAAGTTGGAGGGTTGTGGGTCATGGCTCGTGCTTATATTTAGAATTCTTTAATTGCTCCAAAAACAGCTACTATTAGTTCTACTAGATTAGAATAATGAGTTAGAGATAAATTTCCACCACATGCTTCCTTTTAATAATGATTAATGCATACTTAAAAAATTTATATGTCCTGATGTAAAATTATTAACCACATTTCCATAATTAAGCCGCATTTTAAATTAATAAAATAAATAAATAAAATCAATTGCATGGTACCGACGATGTCTGTCTTTAAGCTTTATCTCCTATTTCACTTGTGGGATTGGCCATATTCTGTCTGCCATATTCTCGTGGGAAAAAAAATCACATAGAAAAGCCTGCTTTCATCATTCAAATAAAGGTGAGGAGGGATAGAGGGGCCCCTCTTTTTAACAGCTACCAAAGATTGACACACCAACCCAAAAGGTAAAAATTTTATTACTATTTTGAAATTTATTCTACCTATCTTCAAGTTTAGTACCACTTTATTCTTTTTTTAATCTTGAAAATTATTGAACAGGTCTCTAACATCTCCTCCCTAAACTTTAGAAATACCTTTACCTTGGGCTAAATTTAATATTTATTGGATCTAAAAAGATTAAATTTAATATAACATTTAAAAAATACATGAACTAAAAGGAAGTGAGTCCCAAGTTAGTCAACAAAGACAAAAGGAAGCTCTAATTCCATGGCGGCCATACAGCAAAAAGAGAGAAAAAGAAAAAGAAAAAGAAAAAGTGGGAAAGCAAACTTTCGTGTAAACACATCTACAAACATTCTCATCAATAATAAGACCCATACTCACATGCTAATTGTAGTGATGTGATGAAGAATAGCTATGTTTATCCATTTCAGACAGAAAATGCTATCAATTGGACGTTAAAAATTCTTCAGAATGGGTCAAAAATGTCTGTTCATGTCAGCTTTCTCAAGCAGCTAATGTTTCTAGTCAAAGCTGTAGAAAGAAATTTTAGAAATCATGCGAGTAGTGAGAATGCTTTGTGTTCTAAAATTCAGACTTTTATATTGATGATTTCACTACTAGGCATTTCATGTAAAGAGTCATGGCAAATAAAATTTAAGAAGCGTACCATTTGAGAGCCACAAGGAAGTTAAAAAGAAGATGAAAATGTTGGATTCTTATCAGAAGGATGGAGATCTGTGAGGGGTGTCTTTCCTTCTGCGTTTTCTTGGCTGTGAAGATGAAGGGCTAGCTTTGGTCTCTTCCCTGGACTCTGCAATTGATATGGTTGATTCCAATTCGCTTGCATTTGTTTCGGCGCTAGTTTTTTCCTTGAACGATAAGTTACCGAAATCCGGGCTCAGAGATACGATGGTTCTTATGCTCTGGTCCTTAAGCTTTGAGTTCACAGAAACCTGATGTTTTTGCAGCATTTGAAGTGTTAGCAATATGTGCATGATGTAATTAAATTGGTTAGAATATGGTCTCTTAATCTAAACAATCTACCGAGTAGCAGAGTTGTGATAAGGCTCATGTTTTTATATACCTTGCAAGCAATTGAACAGAAGCGATTAGGATATTGTACATATCTACCACAGTCTTCACAAGAACCACCGGACTTCGCTTTTGGTGGTTTGGCGTCGACGGATTGACCACGGGAGTTTAGATGAACAGATATTTCACCATTGACTTTATATGTCTGCAGTATCAAGCAATAGAGGTTTCAAGTTAGAAGACATAGAGATGAAATGCCATAGGAGAAAGGGAATGTTAGAAATAGTTCAGTTTGATCATTTTCAACAAGTAGAAAAGAAAGCAAACAAATTGATAACAAACAAACTTTATTCCTAAAACTAAAATGGAATCAGACGGGATTCAGATTAACAAAAACAATATGATTTGTTCATTCAAAGTGGTAAAGATCAAAATCAAACTTCTGAGATTTCCTCTACAAACGGTCACCTCCGATTCGATCCTTACAAGAAGTGGTTGAAAACCAGATAGATTCGGCTAAAGAATTAAAAGTTGTGTTAGAATAAAATAGGAACTTATCTCAAATCTCAATGATTTCAACTACATAAAAGCAAAAAGATCAGCAACACAAAGATTGAATTCAGAAATCTTTTCTATGGAAGACTATTAAATCGATATCTTACTGGAGTTGTAATAAGGGAAAAAATGTTTTATACATGAATCTCTGAACAGCGAAAGTATTTCTCCGTGTCCTGAACGCGAACAACTTCATGATAGACATATTTCCAGATATGAACCTGCCGATGAAGATCATGTACTGTACAATTCTTGCAGAAGCTAACACTACAATCAATGCAGAATTTATTTTTCTCATTTTTCCTGAGATTAGGATGAAGATCGCAAGAAGCGAAGAATTTCGTATTCAAAAGCGTACCAAGCCAGTCCGTTTCCATTCTCTTCACTAAAGAACTCGCATAATTATAACCTACAAAACCAAAGAAATCCGTCACTCCGTAAGATTCCGATCCTCTTTCACAAAATTTCATCCAATTCTTGAGAAAAACTGCAGACAAATTCAGAGTTGAACTAATTAATTTAACGGCCATTCAAGTAACCGAGCTCGAATTGAAGTTCAATATACACAATATAACAATCAATCGCAATAAGTAGAGAGATTCAAAAATCAAAAGTATCAATCGCGGAAGCCAACAGACACTATAAAGTACACATCATAAAATCTCCCCAAACAAAAGAAAAAACAGTAAGCAAGTGGATTCAATACTCATTCCCGTGGAAGAATCAAACAAAAACGAAAGAAAAAGAGTTCGAAAACTACACATTCACCGAAAAGGACTAAAATACTCACAGATTCTTCCGATTGCAGGACGAAGACTGAAACCAGTACAAGGACACAGAGGAAGCGGCGGACAAATTGGATTAAGCTCTGCAAATGGAGGAAGGAAGAAGAGGAAGAACGAAGATTAAAGTGAAAATGGAAACAGAAATCTTTGGTATCTTTTTTATTATTATTATTTGGTTTGATAAACAAAAATCTTTTGAGTGTTTGCGTGTGTACATATTTGCACTTATTAGGCAACAGAGAGATGTGGGCTACGATCGGCATGAAGGTGAAGGCATGCTGGCCGTTGGATTGTCGCCATCGGACGGCTAAGCTTTTTTTTTTTTTTTTCAATTTAGAGTTTAAACAATTCCAATATAGTCTCTCACATTTAACTATTTTGGAATAATTTTTTTTTCACTTTTCTTTTAACAATTTAAGCATATTTCAATTAATGTAATAGTATAATATTAATAAAAAAAATTATATATTCGAATCAGTCCAAATGTGGCTAACTAAAAATTTTGAAGATACACTCGATATTTATTTTAAAAAAATAAAAAATTAAGTTTTTTTTTTTAAAAAAAAAAACTTGAAATTTTTGCTTACTAGAAATTTAGAGGAAAAGTTATGAATTTTTTCTTGGTTATTTTCTTGCTCTAAATTTATATAAGCTCACTAAGAATTATGGCATAAATATTAATTTTAATATTTACCAATTGATAGGGGCAAAAATGGGAATTGAATAATTTGCAGGACTAAATGGTAACTTACTAAAATACTAGGATTAAGTTGAAAACAACCCAAAAATATTGTTATTTGGAAGAAATGTGAATGGTTCTTTCCGGTCGTGTGGGGCCGAGAAGTAAAGGTGGTTTACAGTGACACGTG